CGCGCTCAGCCCGCGGCCGCTGCAGGCGCCGGTGGGCGGGGCCGGCGCCGTGTCGGCCAATCAGGGCGCAGAGAAGGGAGGGGCGGGCCGAGCCGCTGCTCGGTCTGAGTCCCGGGCTCCTGCTGGCTGTTGCGGGCCCCGCGCGGCCGTGGACCAGGTCCTGGCGGGTCTCTGCAGAAGGCAAACCTCGGTGGACCAACACCTGGAAGCAGCCCCAGGGACGAGAGTTTAGGGGCCATCCTCTTATGCACTCTGCTAAAGTGCTTGTTGGGGCTGAGAACAGTGCTCCAGGACGAGGCCACTCAGGTTAGAAAGGACGCTGGGCATTTGCCAGTCCTCTTTGCCTTGGTTTCCTCATCTGCAAGGGACACACAGGATAGTGTTGGTGCGTGGATTAAATGAATGCTTAGAATAATGCCAGGCACACACCGAGTGTCAGATGTTATTTAATGCCCTCGTTCTTAGCTCATTTCAGTTTCACAACTTGGCGCGGTAGGCACTCTTTTGGCCAACACTGAGGCTCAGAGAAATGTAAGGCGTTGCCTGAGGTCACACAGCTACTCAGTGGGTAGAGCTGGGGTTTGAATCTAGCTTTGTCTTACTCCACCTTTGTAGGCTCCCAGATGACTTCATATCTGTACTAACCTTGTGTAGGCTTTCTGGATTGTCACTTATTTATGTTCTTACTAATTCTCTGCATTGATTTGGTCAATACTTACCTGCTCTAGCCCCTGTGCAGGTCACTGGGTATACTGGGCTTTACTAAGAGTCAGACTCTGCCCTTAAATAATTGTCAGGGACAGGTAGAAAGGAGGTGGAGTCAGTGATGGTACAGTTTGTCACAGTTTGCCCTGAGCCTAACTTCCAAATGACTATGATGAAGAAAGGCCCCTGGAGATCCAGGATGGACAGATGATACGGGTGAGAAATAACTTTTGTTGTGTTAACCTACTGAGAATTTGGACCTTTTGTTCTGTGCCTTAATCTAGCCTTTCCCAGAGAGAGACACACAGGTCCTGTCCTGCATTCGTACTACCCTGCTTCACTTTGCCTCAGGCCAATCCCAGCTCTGGTTCCACTAAAATTTTATTTTAAAAAACAGGCAGCCAGCCCACAGGCTACAGGCTGTAACCATATATATATTTTTTTTTATTTACCTTGATTACTGCGTTTTTTTGGTGCCCCCTTAAATTCTGCTCCTGAGGTGATTGCTTCCGGGACCTGGCCTTAATCTTGCTAAGAATTGGATAGCTTAGCTGGGTCTGAAAGTGGGAGAGAAAGGAAGAGCATCCTGGTGAGAGGGTGCAGCTCTAGCAAAGGCATAAAGGAAGAGGGAGCCGAGGGGTTATGTGTGGCGAACTGTCGGCTACTTGGTGCTCTGGAGAGAGACCGAGCGAGACAGAGTTGTCAACATCCCGTGTTTGCTAAGCGCTGTGAGTTCTTTCTCATTCTCTGACATGGAGTGCCATGCAGGGTGTGTAATCCCTGGTCATTCTCCTGGCATGCCTGAGTGCACCAAAATCAACCTCAAGTTGTGAAAGAGTAGCCCCGTGAACTTACTTTGACAGGTAACAAGCCTCTGGGAGACCAATCCTTTTAGAGCATCTCTCTGCTCCAAAGGCAAGTTCCAACCTGTGACAATAAATACACAATGGCTGGTCACAAGGGCTACGATGGGAAAGAACAAGAAGCTGAGTGATTAATGGGATAATCAAGGTTCCCCGTGGTTGAAAACAGGCTTCTGTAGCTCCAGATAGTGCATCCACTTTCCATCCATGAAGAAGAGGGAAGGATGAGCTCCTTTCTCTTGAAGGATAATCCTCAGACTCTGCAGAGATGACTCTATTTGTATCTCACCGATAGAACCAACATGGTCACACCTAACTTCCAGGAAGGACGGGATATATAATCTGCTCCCACCTCTCTTTAAGATAACCCATGTTTGGCTAAATGTCAGTTGCTTTATTAAGGAAAAGGAGGAGAATCTCTCCTATGCAACTCAATACCATTTTATTCATCATTATATATTGTTATAATAAAAACAATAAAGGAGTCAAATACCCAAGACAGGAGGGCAAGACATGCAATTTTCAGACCCGGTTGTATCCTGACCTGTTTGACCTTGGACAAGACTCTGAACTTCTCTGGGCTTGTATTAATCCATCTGAAATTGAAACTAAAAACTTCCAAGGATACTTACTTCCAGCTCATCCCCAGCTCAGGGCTTCTGTGTTTACTGTGTCCTCTTCCCACAGCTGTTCAGCTGCCTAGTTCCATCCAGTCTACAGGGCTCAACTCAAGGTACTTCCTTGGTGAGGCCTCTTGGATGCACCCCTGCATCTAACACATGGGTCTCCCCCTTAACCCCCCATAGCTTCAGGTTTACAGCACTGTGACCATGTGTCACTAGGCATTGATTGGCTTGCTTGCTTGTTAGGGGCTGTCATGTGACTTTGAGCTCCAGGAGGGTAGGGGTCCATGTCCACCTGTTCTCTATCCCTAGGGCCTTTCTCATATGGTGCCTGGCACACACAGCAGCATGTGGTGGATGAGGGAATGGACTTAAGTTTTGGTTCTAATTACTGAAAACGCATAGGTACAGGTCCCACCGCAAAGAACTCACACTTTAGGAGGACAGAAAAGCAGGTGGAAAGTTTGATATTATTCAACATACCATGAGTTTAAAGGGACCATTCTCTTAGGCTCTTGGGAACTGGAGAAGATTCTCCCCAGGACAGCTTCTCCACGGAGACCAAAACTCTTACCCACCTGCTTCTGGTAGCTCTGGGCAGGTATCCGATGACAAAGGCCTGTGGCTCAGGACTCCTGGTCCATTTCCCAGTTTGGGAAAAAATCCTCCACCCTTGGAGTCACTTGAAACTGACAATCTGCACATCCAAATGCAGCAGCAATGGACCACGGTCACCCCACCCTCTCCCCAAAGCCAAATCCAAATGACTAGTGGCTGATTCCACTGCCCCTTGTAGGCTGAGAGGTCCCCTCCTGTGCGGGAGGCCTGGCTCCATCGTCCTCCAAATGACAACCATGCCACTGATGGTCTTTCTGGGAGTCAGCCCGTGGACAGGCATCATTTCATACGGGCCTCCCAGTGACCCTCCGAGGCCCCTCGGAGCTGAGCAGGGAAATGGCTCATCCTGGCTTCAAATCATTTGCCTGGAAGGGAGCAGGCCCCCCTAAAGCACTTGCACTACTCCCCCACCCCAATACCGCCTGACATGGAAAAATGCAAGTCCTAGTAAGAGCCTTGGTGTCCCCCCTGCCAGCCCACTCCCCGCCCGAAGTCATGAGGGCTCTCAGCTCAAGTGGCGGGGGCCGAGCCAGCCAGAGAACAATGGGGCCGGGGCGAGGGGGAGTTGGTGGGGTTCCCTGGCTGCCTTGTCATTGCCATAAACCTCATTACCTCGCAGTCCCCTAGGCCGCCTCTCTCCTTACCCAAGGCATCAGCCGGCTTCGCTGCTGATTCCCACACGGCGTGAAAAGCTCTTAAACCCCCTGCTGTATTTTTAATGGGGGCAGTGACTAATTTAGCCCTACGCCACCAACCGTCAAATCAAATCTTCTGTTGGTACTTACTGAGGGCTCACCTGGGCTCCGTGGGGTTCGGGATAAATCCAGAGCTGGAGAGCACCCGGAGTTGGTGTTGTGGCAAAAGGCCCCGGGAAAGGAGGGTCCCATCTACAGTCTCAGCACTGTCTCAGAGGCAGGCTCGGTGGGCATGTGACTCAGCCTGCAGCTGGGCGCACTGGGGAGAACCCCGAGACCTACCCCGAGGGCTTCCCCAAACAGCCAAGCCTTCAGGGGGCTGCAAATTGGAGTTCACCTCCTTCAGCTTTCAGGAGGCAAGAACCCCGAATTCTAAGGGTGACACTCAGCAGGGGCCTCTCTGTGCTTCACGGGTGAAAATGCTTTTTGAGAAAAAGAGCAAGTCCCATCTGTGTGAGAGTGTTCTATGAGGTGGCAGGAAGGGGACTCCTACAGGTCAGCAGAAGCCCCTTGATCCGAGAGCCTTCAAGATGATGGGTATAATTGCTGCAAATTCCACGCCCGTGACTTGGTATTACATTATAATTAGGTGCAATCTGTCTGCCTGTTTCATTTCCGCTCTGCAGAGGGTAATAACCAATTTCCTTGCCCCTTGTGAAAAGTTAGCGAGGAAGGGCTTCCCTGGGCTGGGCTGGCCGCTGATTGGTGAGTCGTGCCAGCATGACGGAGGTGTGGGGGACAGCCTGAAGGTGGCCCAGGAGGCTCGGGTTGCAGGGTGGGCCCGGGGCACTGTGGGGCACCCGTAGGGCAACGAGTAGGCCAGGCAGGCCAGGCATCAGGGTGCAGAATGGAAGAGACACTCCCTCTCTGGGCTTGCAGGTGCAGGTGGGCTCCTGAGGGCGAGAACCTCCTGAAATTTCACATCCGGGGCACCTGATGGCATCACTTTAGTTCCGATTGGGAATCTGCTTCTCCCTCAGCTCCACTCTGGAGCCCCCAGACCTGGATTTCATGGGACTGGGAAGCTGCCCTTTGCCCCTGCTATTTCTCCCAGCCCTGGCCAAAATTAGAACCCAAGTCCTACTTGGCAAGGTGAGGGCTGACCCTTTGCCCATTTGCAGGAAGTACCTTGGAGAGCCATCCCCAGACGGGAAGCCAGAAAGCATCATGGATAAGTGACCAACCTGCTGCACGGGTTTGGAAATGCTGCCCATTGACCCGGGAGCCTCAGTTTCCCCACCACAAATGAGAAAATCAGAGTCCTTGATCTCTGTGGGTTCTCTCCCTTCTGACTTTGGTGTGACCACTGCCAGTTCATGCCGTCTATTTGTTAAGTCCCTCCATTTCTTCTTTCTCAAAAGAAGCGGGGTCTATTGTGTGCTGGTCCCCAGGGGCATGTGTGAACCCATGGGAACTCGCCTGGAAACACCCCTCACTGCAGATGACAGCCCCCTCCACAGCCCAGGCTGGGGAGGAGAGAAGCAGGCAGCCGGATGCTAATCGCATGGATTCCCTTTATTGAACTGTACTAGTTACTGCAGTCAGATTAAGTCACATTTAAAAGCAGACCATCCAGTTGCACTGAAACCGATTATATTCATTACATAGTTTTAATCACTGTCCGGTGAACTGGCAAATCCAATCAAAGCATTAGTCTTTAATTAAAAAATTAAAAGGAAATATTCAGACAATAGCCAAGCAATCACATCACGATGCACAATTACCTAGAATTGCAATTAAAAAGTAGTTAACCAAAGGGGGGGGAAAGAAAAACAAGAAAGAAAAAATGAAAAAAAAAAAGAAGCAAAGGAAAAAAAATCACACTAATCCTTTTTTTAAAAACTATCAATATAATACATGAAGGAACAAAGGACAATAGCCTCAAAAAGCAGGTTTCTCTAACACTAGAAATGTAGTCTGCGGCGGAAACTCTAAAAGCACACTAGCTGTAGCAGGACAATAAAAAATACTGAGCATGGAATACTTTTAATCTCTGCCATTAATATTCATTTCCAGCTGCTTATAATAGCAGCGCCTCATGGCCAAATCATTAGAGTTTTACATCTGGGTTGCAAATGACACTTTGATTGGATGTAATGTTCAAATGGCCCTCCCCACGGCGTCTCCGGCAAGCCTTCTGCGGAGAGGTGTCCTGTCGAGCGGTCCCTCACTGTGCGTGCTGGCTCATCGTGTGGTTCTGCAAAGGCGAAGAAAAGGAGACGCGCATGAGGGCAGAGGAACGGAGAGCACGCTGGCCCCTCCCACCCGGTGCACGAGAGCTGCAGAAAAGCGACTCGATTATTACCAAACAAAATGCAACACGGAAAAAAGTGCTCCGGGGACGCAGCTGCCAAGACGGCACGTTGATTCGGGGGCTTGGGGATCGGTTCTGGTGGCTGCCAACCTGGGCTCCCTGTAATTTTTTTTTTTAAGGCCATTCAGGTCTACGTGGAGGGAAATGGGAATGGGCTACGTGGAGGGAAAGAAGAAATGCTGGGGAGGTGGCAGGAATTAAAACCACCTAATGACAAGGAGGAAACTATCTCTGGCTGCCTGCAGGCTGCCCCCACGTCCCCCTCTCCATCCTCCCCGTGGCTGCTCAGAGCCTAGCAGAGGGAGACAGCAGATGTGCTGCACAGCTCTCTGGCCAAGAAACACCCGAGTGGGCACAGACACGCAGAGGCAGTGGGCGGCCTTGGAGCCTGCAGCCCAGGCAAGGGGACAGGTCACCCAGCAGGAAGGGGCCTGGGAAGAGCCTCTCGCCACTGGGCTCTGGGAGCCTGCCCGTGTGGCCACGTGACACTTCTTGGGCCAGAAGAGGAGGGTGTTGTGCCGTTTGGCTGAATTCGCCTGGGAACCCAGGGCCCAGGTGGGACCCTGGAGCCAAATGCTTCCCACTTGTCACAGCCAACGGCACGTCCTCCCTCCTGCCAGCCAGAGCGGGCCAGTAGTGTTGATCTGTTTTTATAGGAACCAACAGCCAGGGGGTGAGGGTGGGATTTGGCCTTTGAGAACCCAGTCTTTTTGTTTCTTTTCGGTGGTCCGGGTTGCAAATCCAGACCAAGTGCATCCAAGCCTCAGGTGGTGCTCCTCCTCATGACCCAGGCAGAGAGGAAATGAAGTCCACGAGGGATGGAGTGGCCTTGCGTGGAGTGCACAAGGGCTGCTGACCCGGGGTGAAGCTTCTTAAGGATGCTCCTGCCCCTGTGGCTGGCTGGGCACCCTGGCCAGCGGCCCTATGACTCCACACAGGCTGGGAGCAGTGGCCTGCAGCTCTGCCGCTGACCACCAGGGGGAAGAAGAGGCGCTGTATCCTTCTCCTGGGCTCCAGATCTGGCTGCAAAGTGGACGCCCACAGCATCTCCTGGAGGCCTGGAGCCCAGATCTGAGATGGGACTGCGCCTGTTTCCAGGCACAAGTACCCCGTGGCAGCCACCCCACACTGTAGTCACTGCAATGGCTTCTATGGTGCTATCACTGACCTCTCCAGCCAGCTCCCAGTCAAGGAGAGGCAGCCCCCAACACCCCATCCACACATAGAAGACACAGCCCCAGCACTCCATCCGCTGATACTCGCCACGCAGGGTGCCAAGGACACCGGTGCAGGTTGCACGGCTGGTGTTTGGCAGGCATGGGTGCTATGTGACGTTGCGTGCGAATCATTTGCAATCCCCACAACAGCCTGACAAGTTGGGACATCAGCAGATGAGGAAATCGAGGCTCAGGGAGAATACATCATCAGCCCAAGGCCAGCCAGCTAGGACGAAGGAGCGGCTGATCCAGGCAATGAGAATCCAGGGCCCCACACCCGGATGGGCACCCCAGGCCAGCACCAGACACAAGCCCACACTGCCACATGTCCTGGCACCTCGGGGTGGGGTGTATGGACCCAGAGCACTAGGCAGGTTGTCTGAGGCCACAGATGGGATGCAGGCAGTTTCCATGGGAACCCACACTCTCCAGCCAAGGCACCTCTCCTTGTACTTGCACAGGGACAGCCTGCTAGTCCTGGGGGAGCCGGCCCATCCCGTGCACAGACCGTCCTTCTAGCTCCAAGTTTCTTCTGTCTCACTTTCACTGGCATCCAAGCCTCAGGTGGTCTTTACATACCTCTCCTGGGCAAGTCTGGCCTCTGCCAAGATCCCTTCCTTTCTCATCCCCACAGCACCCGGCCCAGTGCTGGGCACACAGTCCTGACAGGACACCTGGGTCTCCAGTGCCTCATGGCAGCATGGCAGACACAGCTGCTCAGGGACAATCTGGAGATCTCACTTCCCCACTGTGCCCAGAGAGCCAGCGGTAAGCGGCGGCTATGGGGAGTACTCTGTTCCTTCTTCCTAAGTGGGGGACCGTGGAGCAGGAAGGGAAGGGGCAGTAGGAAGACGCCAGGAGCAGCTCTTCTCCTGTCTCACGTTGACTAGGCCTGGCACAGGGGCAGTCCGTATTGTTGAAGGCACCAATGAGAGGATGAGCAAACGAAGGAGCAGGACAGACAGGGGGACAGACAGGGGGACAGGGACAGCTAGTGCAGGGGAAGGAGCCACACAAAGAGGATGAGTGTGCCAGTGTCCCGGGGCCCAGGCAGACCCAGGGTGGTGCCAGCACCCAGGTCACCTGGAGGGATGGCGGGAGTGCAGGACACAGACTGCCCACCAGTGTGGACTCAGGCAGCAGAGCTCCAAGATGGTATTTAAACTTCACCAGATCCTCGAGGACCACACACCGCCAACAGGGTGCCAGGCAGTGTCCGGGGACCTCTAGGTGAGGAGGCAGCCTCTTGCTGGGGTGCCAAGCACAAGGCCAGCGGAGGCACTCGCCACCCACCCTGGCTGCTGGGAGCCGCCGGCTCAGCAGTCCCGAAGGCGGACACTCATGGTTCCCGAAGGCGGACCTCGGGTTAGGAAACTGGGGGAATAAATGGCAGCAACAGTGGCCCTTCTCACTTAAAGAGCCACAGCAGGTGGTTCTGAGATGGAAGGGTAAAATTTCCTTCCCTGAAGTATATTTATAGTTTTTTAGAGAACAAAAGCCCAGGATGTCACAGCAGATGGAAATGTCAAAACTTGATGCCCCAAGGGAACTGGGCACCAAAATTCACTCAGTGTGCTGTTATTAAGTACCTGCTGGATGCTCTGCTCTGGGCTGGGCACAGTGAGGGGTAAGGAGAGGACTCCAGGTGGGCTCACCCCTCGAGGGGCCTGATGTGAGGGGCGAGACGCACAGGCCCCCAAACGTCTGCGGAGTGTGGTGCAGATGGCATCTCGGCCAGGCGGCTGGTCAAGACCAAGTGTGTGTGCGTGTGTGTGTGCGCGTGTGCGTGTGTGTGCGTGTGCGTGTGCGTGTGCATGTGTGTGTGTGCGTGTGTGGCAGAGGGGACCAGGTGCTGAGCTGAGGAGGGCATCAGCTCTGCCACAGGCCAAGGGCAGAGGGGGTGCTGGGGACCCTTGTCACTCCCCCATCACTTACACACCGGGGAGTCCCAGGGGAGCCACTTCCAATGGGCACAGTTCAACAATCCTGAACACACTCGAAGCCCCTTCCCCCTGGGCTGGGAGGCGTGGCTGGGAGGCCTTCCTTCCTAAGAGCTCCTTCCACCCACCATGGCCCTCACAAGGGCATTCTGGCTTGTGTCTAGCTCTCTGTTTATGCCTGTGCTATATTTAGCCCCTCGGAGAAGGAAGAAAATCGGTTTTTAAAGATGCCGCCGACCCCGCAGATGAACACTTCTCTGCACCATAAAGGCCAGGGGTGGGGGCCAGGGAAGGACGAGGAAGACCTGGACGGAGGCCCGGCACCCGCACCGGCCTCACTACCTGCCAGGGAGACACAGGTGTGGGGCAGAGAAGCAGGTGAGGAAAATAAAATGGGGGAGTGGCAGGGGTGGGTGGTCACGGCTGCGGCTGCTGTTCGCCCGTGAGCTCCTGGGGTTGGAGGTTTCTGGTGGAGCCTGATTTGGGAGTCTCCGCCTGAGATGGGCAAGGTGGAGCCTGGGGTGGGCAGAGAATTCTGCACCCTCCCAGAAGTGTCGGGGTCAGGCCTAGGTGGGGTCCTGGGGAGACCCACAAAAGGAGCCCCCTGTGGAAATCAGGACTCAGGAGCTGGCTCCCTGTCGCACGCTCGGCCTCTCCAGGGAACAGCCCAGAATTCACTTACGCTCTTTCGTCCATTCACTCAACAAAGCTTTATTGACTCCCTGCCGGGTGACAGCCAGGAGCTCCTTGCTGGGAATTCAGCAGCAAGGCGTTTCTGATCCCGAATCCCATCTCGAGTCTGAGTTGGGCACAGAGGGAGGGACTGGGCCAGGTGTCCGGGGCACCAACACAAGCCGGAGTGGGCCACACGGAGGTTCAGCCGGGGTCCCACTCTGTCGGGAGGCAGCCCTGCCTCGGCCCACCCCACAACACAGCACAGAAGCAGACCCCTGCCCTCCTCCTGCAGCCCAGGACTACTGCTCCAAGTCTTGGCTCCATTTCCTGTTCTTTGCCAGGGGACCCTGATTCATCTCCCCTTGATGCCCACCCACTCCAGTGTCAGTGGGGAGACTGTGCTCTGTCATGGTGGCATGAAGCAGCGGGACATCTCTGCACATCCCGGGATGCACTTCACCAAGTGACCTCCAGGCAGGCGGGAAGCAGTAGTGGGCTGGGCTGGGCTGAGTCCTAATCCTACCTCTGCCACTTACCAGCCATGTGGCCTCGGAATAAACGCCTTGACTTCTGGGGACTGGGGATGCCTCTTCTGAGGTGCCCTGAGGACCCAGGAGACAATGTGCATATAGTCATATCCCAGGCCTGGCCATAAGGAAGTGCTGCACAGGTCTTCCTGGGGTGTCCCCGAGGGTCCTCCCGACCAGACAGGTGGCTGGGATGGAAGGGCCTCTTGCTCCCTGCTGGTACCCCTGGGAGGATACCTACAAGTTTAATGGACGGACCAGCGGAGCCCCTTCCTGCTTGTCCCCAAGGCTGCTGAGGTCTGAGGAGTGTTCCTGAGGTGGCCCAATCTTCGGTGGTCCCGTTCCTGGGCAGCAGGCACCTGGTCAAGCCCCCATTCTCAAGACGGCCCCCCTCCAGCCCCCAGGTAGCGTAGCCAAAGCCACAAGTCAGTTTCCCCTGCCTCTGGGTACCGAGTGGGATACCTGGTGAGGAGGGGGTGCCGGAGAGATCCACAGGGAACGGGGGAGGTGTGGCTCAGCCACCC